AGGCAGTTGCCATCCAGTGGTACTTCATGCACTACAAAGCCTCTCTCCCTTGCTATTATTTTTAATTTATTTGTAAGAGATGTGTCACTATTCATAGGGGGAAGAGAAACTTGTGAGGACAAAGGCTCAAGTGTAGAGGGTGATGACATCTCTAATTGTGCATTACTAACAGGATCATTAATCAAACCATGGGCTATTTCTTCATTGTCAGAATAAGCATGTGCCACCCATTCATAGTTTATATTAATATTGCGATAAAACTCATTGTTATTTTTTAGCCATCTTAATGCCTCAAATACATGCTGAGGGTTTATGTAATCAAATAAATAATGGCCTTTGTAGGCCATTTTTCTTTTAAGCTTGAGTGCAAGTATTTCAGTTTCGCAAGGTAAACGAGGTAGAGTAGTACAAATTGCTTCTAGTTTGCTTGGCACATTAACTGCCGGGCCATGTATGCATTGTTGCTTACCCACAGGTAAAGCACAAATCTTCATAAAAGATATCCTTTGAGAGATAACACGAATTTCAAGCATTTTCAAGTTAGCTAACTCAGCTGGGATTTGATCAAGTTCAAGACCATTGGCAACTGCTTGTGCTGGCAAGGAGCCAGAATTTAATGCTCGGTTACAAGTTTTGCATACATATGTCACCCCATCATTACTTAAATATAAATGTTTTATCAATAGATTTTTATCCATTTTTTTATATTTTTCTTCATGAAAAACCATCACGCTATTTTTATATAGCATTCTATGGCATATAGTGCATACATACTGAGCACCCATGCTAATTTTCAAATGAAAATTAGCTATAGCTTTGTCCATCGTTGAACACTGTCTCCTTTGAGCCTGACTTAATTTATTCTTATGTTGTTTTACCTGGTTTTCATAGTTGGTTGCAAGTACCTTGTGTCTAGCTTTACAAGCACGATCTTGTTGCTTACGTTGACAACTTTCTTCATTTGTTTCTAGTCTACGACGTTTAGCAGCAGATTCACGATCTTGTTGCTTACGATGACAACTTTCTTCATTTGTTTCTAGTCTACGACGCTTAGTAGCAGATTCACGATCTTGTTGCTTACGATGACAACTTTCTTCATTTGTTTCTAGCCTACGACGTTTAGCAGCAGATTCACTGTTCTTCTTTTTTCTTTCACTAGCTTCTTCAGGTGTTTCTAAATCTTTCCTTTTTTTCTGATAAGATATATCGCGGACTTTCCTATCTTGTTCTTGCTCAAAAGATTTAAACTTTCTACTGTTTCTCTGTGATATTAAATTTGACTTCATTATGTCTTGTTTTTGCTGCATAGTTTCTTTAACTTTTTTAGTGGGAAAATCTTTTTTTTTTTAAATATGACCACAATTACAAACATTTGTTCTTATGTGAACAGGTTTATGGCATTTTGGACAAGTTCTAAAAACAGGTCCAGGATTGGATTCTATATCACCAGCAAGGAGTAATACTAAAACACAAAAATATGCACATGCATGTACAGTACCATCATCACAAAACAAAATATTATTTACACAATGAGGATATGGTGTCACTACTTTACATGCAGTCAAGGCAGATTTAACATGTACATGCATGTATATGTAAATAAGCGCTACCATACAAACGTGTACAAATAACAAATTCAATAAAATCCTTATTGCTATCATTAACATAAATTCATGCTTAATTTGTAAAGACATGCCATACCTCTTTCCATTATTAAATAGCCCTATGGCAGCTCTCCATGCCTCCATACTGATAGACATTATAAGTCCAGGGGCAAATGTGAAGAAGGCTGACACAAGACCAGAAACAATGCTAGAGTAATACAAAAGCACACAGTCCAGAGTCATGTAGAATGATGTAACTCACACTTTAGCTCAATAAGAATGTTCAAATATGAACGTTTAAAATACTAAAAGAGTTATAGTCATATCACAGTGAAATAAATGAATAAAACTTACAACCAATGGCAGGAATAGAACAATCCAAACAAGTCACTGGAAAATATTAGAACTTTCAACGACAAGTGTAAACACTAGATCTAAGTTCTTAAATGCTACAGTATAAGAAGACAGTCCATAGTCATATATATAAATGATGAAACTTACAGTGTATAGAGACGCAAGAAAGCAAAGAGCTTTGAAAAGAAACCAAAAACAAAAAACGACAGTGTGCTTAGTAGGGTGTGGTCCTCTAATATCTATGTTATGGGTGTGGCCAATCTAGATTAATGCTAGACCACACCCATAAGTACCATGGATATGCACGTTGCACATGGGTAGGTGAAGGAAGAAAAGCTGAAATTTATTTTAGCATCTGAAGCTCTATACAAAGAAAGAGTTGGCACTTAACTGTTGCCTAGAGTTTTAAGAGAGACTGAGAGGATTTTGTTGCTACTGCTTTCCTTAGTGACGCCTTGGATCCTCTTAAAGAGGCAGGCTAAAATACGAACTTTGAGCAATTGTATTTCGTAAACAAAGAAGAGGTAGGAAAAATCCCACATATTTTTAACTCTAGGTACTTTTCTCTACCTATCAATGCTAATCGTGACCAAATAGAATGAAACACGAAGATTTGGCTAGGAAAGTGGTATATTCTTGAAAATCATATTCAGCTTTTGCTACTACGGATTGCTACTAAAATACAACTGAAAAGAAGAAATCAGCTTTTATCAATGCTGTAGAAAGAACTATAAGTCAGGAGAGCTCAGTAGAAAAATATTGACCAGGAATTAACAGGAATTTTCGTGACAGAATGACAGACAGAATGACAACCCAGCTGCTTAGTACCCGCCTACGCAAGCGTGGCGAGTCCAATTATAGGTGTGGTCAGCACCTAGCAGTACTGTACCATAGATAATACAGTAAATGAAAGGGATTGGAAACTTCCGTTCGCGGCTGGAAATGCTAGTTACCTATACCGTATTAATTTTAAGCCAATTTGCTCTAATTAATCGTATGT